CTAACCGACTGAGCCACCCAGGCAACCCATGATAAGAGTGAGTGTGTGTGTGTTTTAAAGATTTTATTTATTTATTTATTTATTTATTTATTTATTTATTTATATAAAGTTTTTTTTTAAAGATTTTATTTATTTATTCACGAGAAACACACACAGAGAGAGGCAGAGACACAGGCAGAGGGAGAACCAGGCTCCCTGCAGGGAACCCGATGTGGGACTCGATCCCAGGACCCCCGGATCACACCCTGAGCCAAAGGCAGATGCTCAACTGCTGAGCCACCCAGGCATCCCATATGAGTGTGTCTTAAGAAAATTCTCACTATTCCCCAATCGATACCCCTACAAAGTCCATTTTTTGCTTTTTCAGAAAAGACTTGCTACAGGGACCAAATCTGGAACTATTTTTACCATATACAAATAGTGAATTTAACTCAATTAAAAGAGGATATTTGGCAACTGAGCCTATAATAAAACCACCTAAAAAATACTAGAATTTGGAAGCCATAAATATGTGTATGTGATACAAGCTATTATTTTGTAATGGTTACTGATGATCCTCTGTGGCTTTTCAAAATTATTTCTCCAACATTCATGGTACTTAAATTTCTTTTATTTCTAGGAGAAAAAGAATGATGCACATTTTGCATAATTTGCAAGAAAAATGCTTTAGAAGCTTCAAAAGTAAAAGTGATCTTGCAGAAAAGTGTTTTTTTTTTTTTTTCTTTCTTTTCCCAATAGTTCATTCATTCCAAATGCATCAGGGCAAGTACATTTACTGATCTGATATGTCACTGCTGCCTGAGGTCTCATGAGAGTGTGGGTTGACATTAAAGACACTAAAGTTATTGCCATTTACCACTGATTATAAGGGGGTATGTATTCAAGTATCAAGAATACTTGAATTAGCAACGTGTTGGTTCTGAACATATAAAAAAATTAGTCCTATACAATAAACTTTAAGGAAGTAAATATGATCCAAGTTGATTTTTAAAGTTTTTTTTTTTTTAAGATTTATTTATTTATGATAGAGAGAGAAGCAGAGAGAGGCAGAGAGAGAAGCAGGCTCCAGGCCGGGAGCTTGACGTGGGACTCGATCCTGGGACTCCAGGGTCACACCCTGGGCCAAAGGCAGGTGCTAAACCGCTGAGCCACCCAGGTATCCCCGATTTTTAAAGTTTAATTGCCATGGACACACTGAGTTCTAGAAAGCTATTAGAATGTTCATACTCTAATTTGGGATGCTGCTTTGCCTTGCTGTATAATATTGTTTTAAGAATGTTATTAAAGGGGCACCCGCCTTCAGCTCAGGCCATGATCCCTGGGTCCTGGGATCGAGTCCCGCATCGGGCTCCCTGCAGGGAGCCTGCTTCTCCCTCTGCCTATGTCTCTGCCTCTTTCTCTGTGTCTCTCAGGAATAAATAAATAAAATCGTTAAAAAAAAAAGAACGTTATGGAAGCATTATATACTCGGAAAATATTTGTACTAGGGATATGGAGAAGGAAGGCCTTCCTTCAACTGCTGTCCACTGAACAAGATTTGAAAAAAATTATTATCCTGATTTTTAAAAATTATGTCAACTTTATTGAGGTGAACTTTACATATAACAAAATGCACCCTGTGATGAGTGTGGGGCAAATGCATACTTGCTGGTGCTACTGTGTTGCTCAGTCAAGGCACAGAGCATTTCCACCATCTACAAAGTTCTTTTCTGCCCTTCCCAGTCATTCACCCTTTGGTCAACCACTCTGTTTGAGAAGAGAAATGTAAAAACAAAATTTTTCTTTTCTCACCTCTTGCCCTACTCCAACACGATTATGTCTCTTTTTCTCCGTCTTTTGTTCTTGCTGTCCGAGCAGCCTGGCAATTTGTTGACTTAAAGCACTGAGCTGCCTATGGGCCCTATCCACTAAGAGAGGAAAACATGCCTCCTTATTTTCCTATTCTTTCTCAATGACTTCTCACTCCTCTGTATCTGAAATCTGCATCCATCCATTGATCCATCCATCCATCCATCCATGCATCCATCCAACTTGTGTTGAATGTCTATTCCCAAGGCTGCCACAAATCCTGCCTCCACTTGACTTAGGTTCCAACAGGGAAGACAAACAATTTTAACGATTATGCTAAAAAGTCCATGCATATTACAAAGAGGAAATATGGCACACAATGGGAGACTCAGCAGGAGTGGCTGGGAATGATTCTCAGGGGGGAAGAGACATCGATGATGCAGAACTGTAGGATAAATATCAGTGAGTCAGTTAATTACTTCAGGAATATTTATCGGTTGCCGCAGGCTGGGCACAGTGGTAGCTGCTAGTGATTCGGAGAGGCGGGTAGGAAAGACGTGGGCCTGCTCGCACAGGGTGCCCATCATTATGGAGTGAGCCCAGGCTGGGCTGGGGCAGTGGAATAATGGTCTAGACACAGGGAACACATGTGATGGTGCATAGAAAAGAGACAATATGGTGAGTGAGTTAGAAACATTGAAAATTCCACGTGACCGGAGCTTGAATGTCAGCCAGGAGGGGTCCCTGGACAGAGCTGTGAGCAGAGGCAACCAGCAACCCGTTGGCTCTCATTTGCTGTGTAGAACAGCCACTGAATCCCTAATCAGAATCTTGAAAGCAAAAGAAACATTGAATGTAGACACCACAGTTCAATCACTTTCAAATAATTTCCTTCTGCCTTTCATAAACATAGCTGTGATTAAAATGACCTTTCACGAACAGCACAGAGGCAGTGCTGGAGAAAAAATGAGGTATGGGAGGATAAAATCCATCTACCTGATTGCCATGTAACTTCGGTGAGTCACGAGAGTGGGGGATTTCAGATGCGAATGAAGGATTGCCAAGAGCGCCAAGAGCGTTGGCATACTTGAAAAAAAAAATCCCCACGTGTCTTTAGAATCAGAAGACCAGAGAATTGGGGAAGAAAGGATCTATTTCTTAATGTACATTCTAACTCCTTCCTAAATAATTTTCAAGTTATTTATAGTCTCCATCTGACTTGTGACCTTTAGGTGACTGTTACGTGATAGGCACTTAACATACTGAGGCAAATATTCCACAGGGTTCTGCAAACGTATGACATACATTTTGAGTTTGACATGCCCCAGCTGCTGACTCATTTTGGGCCAGAATATGTCCATACGGTGGTGTATTTAATCTTTTGCAATTTAATATTTGATAAAATCTGTTTACTTTCTAATAAATGCTGTACATTCCACCAAAAACTAAGGCTCTCTGAAAACCCACATCTCCGATGGGTACTAATTCACAGGACATTCTGGAAATATAAAATCCTAAATGCTTGCTGACTGTAAATCAATCTTCAAAACCCAAATATTAATAGCTGCATGAAATGTTACTACTTCTCCATCGATTACCACCCTTCACTGGGATTTACCATACATTTCGGGGGGGGGGGCTGGGTTTCTTTTCTTGGATGACTCTACGCTGGTTATCACCAGATCAGAAATATATTCTATCAACATCTATTTAAGGAACACATTCAATCAATGGCAATAGGATATATTCTGCATGGTTCTGCCCATCTTGTGTCTGCTGCTTTGCGTTTTTTTAAATTTATTTATTTATTTATTTATTTATTTATTTATTTATTTATTTTTTTAATTTTTTTTTGCTGCTTTGCATTTTACAGAGGCCTTTGATGAGAAGGGCCAGACAAAAGATGCCTAAGTCCTGAGCGTGCTTATGAGGCTCTTCGTATCCTCCAGCCTGGTAACCAGCAAATGCAGGATTGAAACCAGTCCTGGTTTCAGGATTCCAGCTCAGGCTGCCACAGGACTACTCATCAGACTTCGTCATCTCGAGTGAAGATGTTCAGTGACTTGTGATTTCTACTCCAGGCTTTGTCATCTTCATGGGCAGTGAGGCCATCTGCTTATATTTTCCCAGGTGTGCGAGGGCACCAAGTGGAAATCTGAGTACACTGACAACACATCTTGATTTTATTCCGGGATTCTTGATGAAAAAGGATCCTGGGCCAGCACCCTGTGTGATTCACCTGTGCTCATTGGTGGGCTCCTTACTAGTCAACATGATGGTAAATGTCAGTCCCCTCCCTTGCTAGGTGGTCAGTGAGTGAGTCTGCTCAATAATCAGATTGAGCCCTCTGATTGAAAAGTGGGTTTTTGAGGCACCTGGGTGGCTCAGTGGTTGAGCATCTGCCTTGGCTCAGGTGGTGGTGATCCCGGGGTCCTGGGATTGAGTCCCACATCAGGCTCCCCTGCTTCTCCCTCTGCCTATGTCCCTGCCTCTCTCTCTGTGTCTCTCATGAATAAATAAATAAATAAATAAATCTTTTTTTTTTAAAGTGGATTTTGCAACATGTTTAAACATCGAGCATCTATGGGTTTAAAATACATCAGTTCTCCTGGACACTACAGGATGAGGCTATTCATAAGAGGAAAAAAAGAAGAGCATGTGAATTTTCATGGAGAAATGCCAAGTGTTAATCTAGATGGAGATGAATGTCATTTGTGAGAGTTTGGCAAATAAACCCTGGGTGGTTCGGGCTTCTGTGGGCTAGCACAGCAGGCTCACCACCCCGTGTAATCAGGGCTCCAGGGAAAGGCCGCTTAGGATTCAAACAGAAGGTGCAGAAACAGACCTTCCGAACATAACCGACCTTTGTGATTTGGTATCTTGCGTGGACATCTTTCCTAACAGGAAAGACAACTCCTCAAATTAACAATCAGAAACACTGTTGTTTGTTTAGCGGGGCTGCTGGTCTTGTTGGTGAGTGGTGTTTTTCTCATGGTATCATCTCAGCACATACTCAGACTCCCGATTCGGTTTTATCTATTGGCCTCTGGTTTTATCTATTCTCCTCTTTACGTTTACCCTCCGCCATCCGCGGCAAAGAACTGGAAGTTTCTAAACAGAAACTCAGGGAGGAATGTGTCTCCTTTTGAGACTGCAGGCTTCAAAGAGTTCCCAGACGGAGCTATAGAAATAAAACGGCACAAACACGAACCTTTCCGTAAAGAGCATATTGTGCTGATTTATTATTATAGACTGCAGTTAAAAAAAATAGTTTGAGGTTAGCCTCTCCAGTTTAAAAGCACTTAACCAGGAACACTTGAACAGCTGGGCAATGATCTCTCCCTCACCTGCCCCCCACCTCACTGAGTACTGTAAACAGGGTTTTGAGAACATTCAGTCAGTTTCTTGATATGAACAATCAAATACGTATTTGCTTCTTAAAGGGAACCATCTTCCAAATTTCCAAAGCATGCACTGGTACTTGGCATTAGGTATTTTCAAAACGATGCATCTTGTTACGGTATCGTAAGGCCAAAATAGGATACCTATTTACCAGACAGACACGTTACAACTAGAAAAAAAAATTACAGACTTTAACCGACTGTAACGATTCCATCGGGAATGAATGGGGAAAGGCACTGCATCTCTTGCATTCCACCACACGTGTACGATATCCACTTCACATGCTTTGAATTCAAGTCCTGTCCAACGTTTAACAGCGTTTTCTACGACATACAAGTCACAGGTAGGGTAATAATCTGACACCACTCTTCCACTGCCATATTTTTCACCCAAGTGTACAATAGGTATGAATATATGCTATCAGCTTTATTTACAAGTTTATCTTGATGTTTTAGTGGAGTAAAAAAAAAAATCAACTATCTCAGCCAACAGCTCCCCAAAAAGGTTTCTTTTTGGGCTATGATTCATGTGGATAAACCACCACGTAAAAGAAATCAATGGAACAGATGTCTGACCCAATACACCTAAACTAAAATTTCTCACCCATTGAAAGTTGGCAGTGACACTGCTATTCTCTGAATTTTATAAAGCGAAACTCTACGCAGGAATTTGAGCTCGACTTCTCTTGCCAAAGCACAGGGTGGATGTTGCGGGGGGTTAGGATGCGGGGCGGCCGTGTGGCCGGTGAGATTCCCCGCGTGACTGCAGTTGCGAAAAGAGTCAGGAATCTGGAAAGGTGATGACAGATCTTTCAAATGCTCTCCCGTCTTCCCAAAAGATGTAAAACTAACAGTGGCGTAACTCTATACACGAACAAAGGTTAGTTCTGAAAATCAGTAAGTATACATGCACAAACATTAGAACATGAGGGGGGAGAAAATGAAACACTACAAATCCCACATTGCCTCGTTCTCGTTTTCACAACGTTTCTGCCCCAGACACTTGGTGGCACCGCGGTGCCTCTGCCTAACAGGAGAGAGAGCCTACCCCTCAGGCTGGCTGGAAACAGAAGGCTCTCCCCACACCCAGGGATGAAGCTGCCCTTGACGAAAACAGAACCTACTGGAAAAGAACAAGTAGGGAACGCTACCATTATCAGTCTTCCCGAGATGTGCCCAAATGTCCTTGTGCGATCACCTCAAACTCAGTGATGGGCTCAGGACATTCCCGGAAGCCACGGACACCGGCAGAGGCGCAGCATCAGGACCATGAGACGGAGCCCCGATTCTCTTCTGAGCAACGTGAACTGGAGTTTCTGCCACCGGGATCACGGCTGTCACCTCCCGGGTCGTGAGCGGCCACTTCCACAGTACAAGATTCCTCCCCGTGGGTGTGATTCAGAATACTTCTTCCCCCCTGGGGGAAGGGCCAGTTCAGCTTAAGTGGAGAGGCGCGTACTCCGGCCTTCTGGTCTGGATGATTTTGGGCTTGGGTCTCTTCATCCTCTCTGCCTCGTCGTCTTCTTCGTTCTCCTGATCGCTCTCGCAGACGTGGACCACCACGCTGGGGGTGGTGTCGGTCGCTGCGTGCAATTCATACTTTTCCCCTGGGGGAGGAGGACAAATGACAGGGTAAGGAAGGCAGGGGCCTGAGGGTCAGAGGGCATGAGCAAAATGGGGAAAAAAGCATGGAGGGGTCTGACTGGCCAAGATGCTGCGGCTATTCAGTGGGGATTGAGGAACACGGCCAGATCCACTCTGGATTGGCATTCCTTAGGTGGCTTTAGCAGAAAAAAAAAAAAAATATATATATATATATACATATATATGTACATATATATATATACATATATATGTAGATAGATACACACAAATATAATATAAAAATTTATATATATAAATATAATAAATTTTAAATAGATATAGATATAGTCACCATTACGTAGTACTCTGCTTTTAAACACTGTGAACAGAGGTGTATGGAAAGGGGCGCCTGGGTGGCTCAGCGGTTGAGCATCTGCCTTGGGCTCAGGTCGTGATCTTGGAGACCCGGGATCGAGTCCCACATCGGGCTCCCTGCATGGAGCCTGCTTCTCCCTCTACCTCTCTCTCTGTGTCTCTCATGAATAAATAAATAAAATATTTTCTAAAAAAGGGGAGTATGGAAAGAGTGTATTTTATTTATTTATCTATTTATTTGAATGTGAGAGGCAGGCAGAGAGAAAGGAAGAAACAGAATCCCAAGCAGGCTCCACGCCCAGCATGGAGCCCAACTTGGGGCTCATCTCCCCATCCTGAGACAGTGACCTGGGTGGAAGTCAAGAGTCAGACACTTAGCTGATTGAGCCACTCAAGTGCTCCAAGGGCTGTATTTTTAATTACACTTAACCTGTTCACCTGGCCTCCTAAAATTATCCAGATGACTCCCCAGCGAGGTGCGAGGAGTGAGCATTCAGGCAAAGACAGTGCATGGATAAAACACGTTAGGAAGGGCCACCTCAAGCCTCCCCCTCTCAAGGCTCCGGGGGGGCAGCACACACTGGGGACAGGAGGTGTAATTATGGCTGGTCTGAACCAGGCACTCCGAAAACATTTCTGACTGCAGTATCCCTTCTCAGAGGACAACTTTCACCCCCGGGAGCCGGGAGTGTCCTGCAGTTCTGTGTCAGCCTGAGTTTGGCCAGGTTTGGTCCAGTTCAGGCCGCTCTGGCCCAGCAAGGGTGGGACGGAGGAGTCTTCTGTAACTAACTGAGAAGCAATCTATGGTGCGGGTCTGGCTGCATCTTAAGGGCTGAGGGAGGCAGTTGGCCAACCTGTGGGCTGTGAGCACTCAGGAGCCGGAGCCCATGGGCACACTCTTTCATATCCCCGTGACCTTCCGATGATGGTGACTCTGACCTCACCAAGTTGATTACCTGAGTGCAAGGCAAGTTATTGACCTAGTGCACAGGACATAGGCCCGACGAGTGTCACCTAGTTTTACTAATGTTTACAAATAGAGCGGGGATCATTACTGGTGGGAAGTTGGGTGTAGTAGAAATGCTATGATTTAAACAGGTAGGGGGACGAGGGTTTGCTTCAGTTGGCTCTACCCCCCCTGGGGGTGCTGGGGTGGGTTTACCTCCAGCCCGATTCTGGACCTGCCTCATGCTACTCTGGGGACTCTTGGGAGCACGCAAAGTTTTTTCTCTGTCTGGAATATCAGTGCAAGTGGCTTTGAAAAGGTGGGCGAGTCTCAGCTCTCTCAGAGAGGGAATGAAGGTGGAGGGTCACAAGATCACGTTGGTCAGGATCCTTATCTACCTACGAACTGGCCACAATCCAGAAAGCTTTGGCATCGGGCCACATTCGCAAAATCGTTGCCAAGTACAGCCAAATAAGAATGTGGTTCTAGCTCACCGTTAAGCAAATGAAGGGTGAGTGGGTTTTATTATGTCTAGTTTCTGAAGAGGCTTCTCAAATTAGCCTTCTGTAAAGGAGTGGTAGATTCTGGAATGTGAAGAATTGTCCCTAGCAGCACTTCTTGGCTCTGGAGCAGTTTGTCATCTCCCCAGGTGGAGGTCCCATTTCTTCTCTCTAGAATCCAGGTGGACTCCACCCGTCAGCTCTGCTAATGTGCCTGAGCCAGGAGCTGCTGGGAGGAGCTCCCGTTTCCTCAGATTGGCCATCCTGACCCTGACCTTCACGCCACTATTACCAGTAAGTAACGTGATTCTTGCTCACTCCCACAGAGGGAATTTCCGCCGGGGCAGTGTGTTCAGAAATGTAATCTTTTCAACATGAAACTGCTGATGGTCCAAGAAATAAAACCCTCAATCCAACATGCTCAGATTGCCGGTCAAGGAGAAAGAAGCTGATGGCCTCAGCATTTATTACATTTGCTCTATGGATAGGGCAGGAGGGTGCGCTCGAACCACCTGACGCCCCTCGCATCTGCCCACTCACCCACACCCTAGCAGGTAAGACAGGAACCACCCACATTTTATTGCTTCCAAAAATCATGTACTGGGCACTGCCCATGGGCCAGGCACTGTTTGAAGTGCTTTCTACCTCTACTGCTCACCACTCCACTGGGTAATACCCATTCTGTGGAGAAGACTGAGGCCAGGGCACCTGTTATCTCCCTGAATACTCACACCTGATGTCGCATCAGAGGACTGGAACCTCTACTTTTCTCTGGCAAGTCAGCAGGGGAGCACCCCAATGGGGCCAAGTGGGGGCATGCATGACCAGGGCTCTTCTCTCCTCTCTATGGTTCTCTTGAACATTTAAAAGGGCCGGTGAGAATCAGATCAATGGATGAAACCACCTTGACCAGAAATGAAATTCCTAGCCACGAGGATATGGCTGCTCCCTGCGGCAGGTGAGCATCTGTCTCGGCGCTCCAGCAGTTTCCCACCATCTCCTTCCCTGCTCCCACCCAAGGGCACAGCTTACCTGGCCCTAGCTTGGAGATAGCGTATAACAGATCATAATTTATGACGGGAGTGGCATCTTCCACTTGTTTCCAACCAACTGGCGGCGAGGCAGGAGGAGAGATCAGAAACTGCTTGTCTGGATTTGGGGGAGCCAGGTGGGAACTTCCTATGTGTAAAGTCTGAGGAGAGAAAGAAACACAGGTGGATGTTTCTTGAGGAAAGAACCCAAGCGATGCAACGGCACCTAGGGATACCTTGTGGAGGGCAGGTGAGAAAGGACAAGCCCAAGTCTGGGCAGCAGAACGTGTGCCCAGGACGTGTGCTCAAGGATGGCTCGTGATACGGTCTATATGGAGAAGGTGACGGGTTATGGTGCTAACCTGATTAGAGCCCCCTCCCAGGACTGGGACCCACAGGCACAGGGGTGGCAAGGGATTACCACTGACCCAGACTGATGGAAAAATAGTACAGTTTTAGTAGAAATGGAAAAATAAAGCACTGTTGTTGAGGTCAGAGGGATTTCAGAATCCATTTCTTCCAGCTCCTCATATCAGAGACATAACAGAAGCTCCAAAAAGCTAAGCAACAGCCCCAAGATAATAGAGTTTCTCAGGGACATCAGGGTGGCTCAGTCGGTTAAACATCTGCTTTTGGCTCGGGTCATGATCTCAGGGTCCTAGAATCGAGCCCTGTGTCAGGCTCCCTGCTCAGTGAGGAGTCAGCTTGTCTCTCTCCTTCTGTCCTTCCTCCCTGGCTCGTGCTCTCACTCTCTCAAATAAATAAAATCTTAAAAAAAAAAAAAAAGAGTTTCTCGGGGGCCAAAGCAGGAATGGGGACCCCTGGACTCCTGCCCATCCAGTGGTACACCACAATTCCTTCCCTCTGGGCTTCCAAATCAGATGCCATAACGAGGAAGGGGAAAAAAGATCCACCTTCCAGGAGATTAAAAAAAAAATAAAAATAACATGAAACAATAACCCATGATGCTAGTTTGGGCTTAGAAGTTCTATCAGTGGTTAGAGGGGAATCCAGAAAGGTACTACATCTTTCTTACCAGTTGGGGTTTTCTTTGTATTTTAATTTTCACGAGGAGCATGCATTCACTTGAGTAAATCAGAAAAAGCTGCGGAGGGACTAAGTAATTATCCAGAACCTGACCAAATGCAGAAAGGGGTGTACTCACAAGGAAGAATCCGAGGTCAGAACCCGTGCCTCCCATAGGCCACCAGGGGGCAGCGCATCCCAGCTCTAATTTACCCCTCAGGGAGCCAGGGAGCCGTCCTCCTCCCAGTCAGGAAGCCTCCCTACCAGGTCTGTTCCTACACAGGCCGGGGAGCTCAGAACCCCAACGGGCAGCTTTAATCAGAAAGCAGCATCCAAGAGGCTCCTTCCCCTTGGACCCTGGATCACCGTTCTATCATCCTACAGGACTTTGTGAGCTGCCTTGACAATGGGTCACCTATCATTGAAGATTGGAGGGAGGGGCCTGGGTGGCTCAGTGGTTGAGCATCTATCTGGCTTTGGCTCAGGGCGTGATCCCGGGTCCTGGGATGAAGTCTCTCATCGGGCTCCCCGCAGGAAGCCTGTTTCTTTGCCTCTCTGTGAAGAAAGAAAGAAAGAAAGAAAGAAAGAAAGAAAGAAAGAAAGAAAGAAAGAAAGAAAGAAAAGAAAAGAAAGAAAGAAAGAAAGAAAGAAAGAAAGAAAGAAAGAAAGAAGGAAGGGTTGGAAGGAGGAGGACAAGTGAGGGGAGAGCTGGACATGTGGCGAGCAAGAGAAAAAAAACCCTTCACAGCCCTTGAGGGCCCTGGGGCCAGGACTCCTGCTACCAGGAGGATCTCTTAGCCTATGCTCCCTGTCTGGTTAACTCATTTTTTCCTTTCCAGCCAGGCCTGGCAGCCTGCGCTGAAGCACATGCCCCCACTTGCAAACTGCTGATTCTCCACGGAGCGGAGCTCGGCGCTGCTCAGAACCTGTACAGAGTGGGGACCCACTCAGGTCTGCTCTCCGTCTGGGACATGTCATTAGCCCCGACCCTTGAGCAAATCCCTGGGAACCTGCTGCACAGGATCTTGGAGTGCTAGAGTCTCCAGGCCCACAGCCTTGCACACCACCAACCACCTTCTGGATGAGCAGGAAAGGTTCACCCAGTGTTACTCAGACCAAGGTCAGGGACCATTTCTGAGGTCGCTTGCTTTCAACCATATGCTGATGTTTTCTTAAGATAGGGGAGGCACTGAAGATTTAGAGTATGAACTTAGCCTTTTTCAAAATGAATTCTTCGAGTTTTAAATCAATGCATGAGGGCAGCCCTGGTGGCTGAGCGGTTTAGCGCCACCTTCAGCCCAGGGTGTGATCCTGGAGACCCGTTATCGAGTCCCACGTCAGGCTCCCTGCATGGAGCCTGTTTCTCCCTCTGCCTGTGTCTCTGCCTCCCTCTCTCTCTCTATCTCGCTCATGAATAAATAAATTAAAAAAAATAAATCAATGCATGAGGTACACATTGACTGGGAAGGTTGTCCATCATACGTGGCTACGTAAAAGAGAAGGCTGTAGTAACCCCACTGTTTTGTGCAAGAAAATGAACTACTCTGTGTGTTTGCATATGTGAAGGAGAAAGTGTGCAAGGGTTCACACTAGATTTTCAAAAGTGGTTACATTAGGGGGCAGGCTTTGGAGGGAGGGTGGGGAAATGTTATTTATTTAACTTTAGGGACTTTTGTGTTATACTTGGGTTGTTTCAATATCTCGTGTTGCTTTTGTCACTCAAATGACAACATAGACATGCTTTAAAAAAGGGAGTAGAAGAGTGTTCGTTGCAGCATTACCTGTGACAGTGAAAAATTGGAAAACAAGATAAACGTCTAGTAAAGACTGGCTAAATGTGTCCTGAAGTATCTACATGGGAGACTATTATGTGCCTGTTATAAGGATCTTTTTTTAAAAAATTTTAATGTTGCAGTAAAATGATCATGAATGACGATACATGGTGAAAAAAAAGAACGAATGGAATAGGAGATGCTTTGTAATTTCAATATTGCAGCCAAAATGCATATCGTAAAAAGGTCAATGTTATAACATAATCGATGTATAAAAGCTACATTTCAAAGGGGGGAGAGGGAGAAGCATGCGTGTCCATGGATCCAACTCACCTGGGCAAAATATAATTTCATTTCCTTTCCGAGAAATTCAGTCTTATGCAGCTGGAGCCTGGCATCTGCTGCAGATAAGGGGTTGCTGAAGTTTATTCGGACTCGTTTGAAGCTCTTAAAATACTGAAAGGTGATATCCTTGTCGTATGTCCTAAAGAGGGATTCAAATTTGGCCTGAAAAGTAAAAGCAAAAATAAAAGGAGTTAGAACATCCCGGCGTAGGAGTCTTGTCGACTCCCATTACATTTCTTCTTGAGGAAGTGGACTGCTATCATTTCGAGAACACTCCCCAAGTTCTTTCTTAGAGAAATCAGAGACCCAGCCTTTCCCCTCTGAGGAAGATTTGCTCTTTCTGCCCTTTTAATTCCAGGATGGGTGATTTCAGAAGAAAGTAAGAATGTATGATTCATTAAATTCATTTAATCAGCAGAACAAGTACCAATACTTAAACACCTCTTAGAGTCACAGAAACAGTCTTTTTAAAGCAGAGACAAGACGAAAATAAATAAAATAAAATAATAAAATAAAATAAATAAAAAAAGTAGAGACAGATGACATTCCAGGGAAGTCGGCTTGGTGATTTGTCACCTCCCACCCCCATCTCGGGGCCGGCAGTTCCTAATGTCCGACAACCTTCCCCAGCCCCGTGAATTCCCATCCCACTGCTCTGTTTGGGGTGTTGCAGTGTGCATTGGATATTCTTTAGGGCTTAAGAACACTGAAGGCTCATTTGCAAACGAAAAATTCTATTGCACTGGGAAACAGTGAAGTTAATAAGAAACCTTGTGTTTCTTCATGTACAGGAAGAGGTTTAAGAAGAAATCTCCCTATTGTTTTCCCACTTGGTCTGTTACTTTTTAACCCACTAAAATAATACTAGCTTAAAAAATTTAAAAAAAAATTTTTTTTACTAGCTTAAAAATTAAGGTTCTGCAAATGGACCCATTTCTGCAGGCTGGCTTTCACATGTGTTCGTTTCTAGCTCCAGTGTTACAAAGGCCAGTGAAAATCATGAAACAGCGTGAGCTCTCAGAATGGAAATGCCCAAGTTCAAGGGTGTCAGGCTTTGATTCAGGAGGGAGCTCAGTAGCCTTCTGGGAAAAGCTCTTTGGAGAGCCCCCTGCCGTGCTGGGTCCTGGGAGGGGGTGTCAGCAGGAGGCGGTGGGGGGAGCTGGGAGGGAGTTGACAGGCTGTCGAAACTTCCAGAGAGACTGTATGGGCTTGGAGGCATTGTGCTTTCTGAGTCTCTTTTTCCAGACTGAGGACAGGTTGTGGGAACTCTGTGAAAGGCAGAAAGGGCTGGCTGAGGGTCCGCTGGGAGCAGCGTGCCTTCTACAAAGGGAATCCACGCAGAAGAGGAGGTGGATGGGGCCCATCAAGTTCTCTGCAAACCTGTGGAAAGCACGGTGTCTGCAGAGGGGCCAGAGGATGGCTTATAAGAGGGGAGAACATTTTCAAGAATATTCAGTGCTAGAGAGAGGTGAGGGAATGGGATCTCCAGGTGCCAGCCGTTGCACAGGCAGGACAGGACCTGGGCTCCAGCCTGTCTCCACTGGGCAGGTTGGGGGGGGGGGCGGGAACAACTCACAGACTTCCCCTCTTTGGATTCCACGGCTTTTCTTTAGTTTATGAGAATTTCCGAGGGGTTTTGCAGAGGGGCGAAGAATGGGAACAATGCGCAGCAGATGCTTCGCGGAGGATTTTATCTGGCTGCATGTGACTTTTTCTCCACCTCTCCCGAGCATGAGGACGGGCAAGTTTCTGGCACAGAGTATGGGCATAAATTTGGAATTTTGCATGACCTCATCAATAGGCATTGTGACCAACTGCTTCGTTTTGAAGTTATGATTCAGAATTTAGGGGGGATGACTTTGAGGAATATTTTTAGAATACAAGTCAGGGCTCAGGACCAGAACACAAGGCAAGGCACAGTATCTGCTAAATCCGTATTACTGTGATACTGTTCTCCTATAACATAATCATATTTGTTCCAATAACCGATACCTGGTTATTACAGTTGTTGGATGGTATCGCTCTTTGATTAATTAAATAAATAATGAGTTTTGACTCACACAAGGCTAATATGAAATACATGGGCTCTGTAGGCTTTTCATACCTACAGTGTGCTCTGATATCTAGTTCAAACACCACAGTCCCAGCTCACAGGCGTCATACACAATTATGGAATTAGATTTAACTTAAAAAAAAAACCAGCAACAATGACACAAAACCTTCACAGGCTTCAATATGGTGCTGAGTATAAAGCATGGAACACGAAGACCATCCCCAAACAGAACACAAAGAATTCATTCATATACGATACTGTTAAAGATCAATTAGACAGCTGGGTAGCTACTGATGGAAATCTTACATCTTAATCAAATGAAGAAGAAAAGCATAGTAATTAAAACGACTAATTATACTAATTACCATCAATGGGAGCTGCTTCCCAGGAGGTACACTTATCCCCGCACTTAAGTTATTTATCCAGTTTTATTATTTGCTATGGCTGCATTTTCTCTGCGAAAGACTTGAAAACTTGAGGACAGGCCCTTGTAATTACTACAAACATACAAACATCTTTATGCTACTTACTTCCTAAGATAAAACTAAATTATTCTGATCTCTGGATGTCAAAGTGAACCGCTCTATCCGCTGTCAGAAAAAGCTTCCCTCCAAAAGTTTACTTACAGCCTACGGAGGATGAAAAACGCAGCATTAGGACTAGTTGCATTACTAGTCGATCAAGGGACCTGGATGTTTTCAAATATTGAGAGCTTTAAAAATTCCTTCGCAGTTAATTCCTCAGGCAACAGCTTTTGACTGATAAAGCTCCAAGTATTCTGGACTTATCTCCAAACCCCCAAACCCACAAGACAGCCACATCACACCCCTGCAAATATTTCAGTTAATAGTCTCAATTAACAGAAGGCTTTGCAAACCCTCAAAAATCACATTAGATTTAGAAGCCTTACCCTGGTTTCACTTTCGCTGAAGATATCACTGTTTGCAACACAGGCAATCAGAGAACTAAAACTGTAGTTAAAATTTCTAAAGTGCATCTTGCTTTCCTACAATGAAAGCGCTAAGCGGTTCAGGCAGTCAAGCCCCAAGTGAGGTTCCTTTGCAAGAGGCTGTAAGTTCTTTCTCCAGCCAGCCCTTATAAAAGCACCGAAAGTCCAGCCCCCTGGGATTCAAAAAAAAAAAAAAAAAAGGCACAGCTTTCAGAGCATCCTGTTTGGACAGCAAATTCCTGAGTCAAGTCCTGCATGCTTTCAGGCAGACAGAGACAGAGTCTAAGTTTCTACTGGAAAGAGGTGACGTCAACACCTTAGTCATTTTCCCTATGCTAATTAACTTTGCTTGGGGAGGGGATGGAAAAAACAGCCAAGGTTTGCCTTGCAGCTGCTTTATCAACCCCTCTTGGAGCATAGTTTCCATTGGTAGTAATTCCATTCAGCCACTCAGACACCATGCTCCTCAGCTGAATGGGACGATCCTTCTTAAGATGGAAAATGTTACAGAAGAAAAATGAGGAAGGTCCCAGCAGTAAACAGTCATTAGCCTCTAGGGGAGTTTCGGGCCTTTGGGAGACCTGGAAACCCAAGTCCTGACTAGTTGTTTGATCCCTATAATTCCCTAAAACCTCAAAGTTTCATGTTGGGGTATTAGGGAAAACATTTTGAAATCTTTCTTGGTCAGTGAACCCTGTTTTTAAAGAAAAAGTGGAATTCATTTTGAAATATGGCTTTTTTTTTTTTCCTTTTTTCCTAATTGAACTTTACTGGATGAATGTCCCAATTCCCGCTTGTATTCCGCGGTGGGAATGTGGGAAGAGATCCTCAAGCAATCCTGGGATTTTTTTCACTGGAAAAACCTTATTATTGTAATTTGGGAACTAGGAATAGGCAATGCTTTGATCATTTTTCTAACAGCTATAGGATTCAGAAAAAGATACAAAAGCATTTTAGAGAATCTAGGCTGTGAAGCTGAGAAAAGAAACATTGCGGGTAGTTGTCTTGCTTTGAGACACATAGACAAAGTTTTGCTGTTGTTGCTGTTGTTGTTGTCCTTGTTGTTTAATAGGAAAGGAAGAAGAAATGGAGAGAATGTATGCTATGTTGAAAAGTTAGTTCAGGGGTGCCTGGGTGGCTCAGTGGTAAAGTGTCTGACTTGAGCTCAGGTCATGATCTTGGGGTCCTGGGATGGAACCCTGAGGTTCCATGCTCACCAGGGAGACTGCTTCTCCCTCTGCCTGCTGCTCCCACCCTGCTTCTGCTCTGTGTGAAAGAAAGAAAGAAAGAAAGAAAGAAAGAAAGAAAGAAAGAAAGAAAATCTAAGTAAGTAAATAAATAAATAAAGTTCAGCTGGCCACTTTTTCAGGTAAGATGTCCAGCGTGGAGAAGCATACTGGGATGGCACGATGCCAGTTCTTTCCAAAGGCTGGAACTCTGAAGTTCTAAGCACTTTCTCAGTTTAGATCCCTTGGCAGCCTGTGTCCTATGTCCTTTCCAATCTCCCCAATTTCATTATCACCTAAAGGCACTCAATTTACTTACAAAAGCACTCTCCAGTCTAGAGGCACACAGAGACACCTCGTAAGCTTCCCAAAGTTAAACAGAACCCGGCCATTCACATGTAAAAATGAACTTCAGAGGATCATTAAAGTCAGCCAATAATAAAAAGAATATACACGATGGAGAAAAAACAAACCAGAGCATTTATCCCTCCAAAAAAGGAAAAGCAAAGTCTTCTCGGATGAATGAGTGTTGCTTAATTTCAATGCACGCTGCCTTGCTGCCAACTGCAGTTATGTAAGAAACCAGTTATGGTGTTTGCTTTGCCAAATTACCCATAACGCCCAACCTGAAAAGATCTAAATGCAAAAATTCTAAAAAAGTTTGGGACACTGTGAATAGTACCGGTATGCATCAAACATCGAGGGGAAGTGGTCACGTGAGCTGGTGCTTGTGCTCGGGTGTGCTGCTTGTTCAGCGTGGTCTGCAATGGGCCTCATGACACCTACGGGCTCTGGTGGTGGTAGTGTGGGTATGCCAGGTGTCGGTGGAGGGTGGGGGTGCTGAGTGGAAAGAGAGAGGGGGGGAGGTAGGAGACACAGAACCACCTTCCCCTCCTCCAGAGAGGCTGGGGATGGCTCTGAAGTGCACCTTCCC